CCATTCCTCTCTGATTTGACCGACCTCCGTTGGCTGACACGAACACAAGTCCATCATAGCCTCAGTCACGTCAGGTTTCTTTAGTTGCTTTGCTGAAAAAGCAGAGTACTGGTTCCTGCCCACCTACATATGATAACTAAGGACTTGTTGGAGATTTCAAAGAAGAACCGAGGAAGGTTAGGAAGTCTGTCGTGTGACCGCGTCATCCGTAGCGCGGACGATGCAATGGCTTTGCATATTATGGGTAGAATATCTGAATGACCTTGTAGATGGTAGTGGTGCGTGCGTTCCAAGTACGAAACCGAGCATATGTGTATTAATTAGGCTGCCACTAATTTATAACATGCAGTGAAATCTAACACACATTCTCAAGTTAGAAGAAAGTGAGATGGATTGAAAGCAGATTTGAGTAAAAGCCTGTAGTAGATATTAAGGTCATCTCAGTTTGCATTGGAGAACTGTCCGCATAGTTAACAGTCTCAACAAATATTTGCCGAAGCAGAATCTGCATTGCTTACTAGTTCGCCTATATATATGGATTGAAAATCAGGTCTCCCGACGGACTAAATAAGGAAGGAGTCGACTTGTTTGAGTACAAATAAATATTCAATATGCAGGTCTTTGAGGCTGGCTAGCCAAATCATCACCAGTCATATGCATGATGCATGGCAGCAGTAAACACTTAACTATGTCTAACAAAGGATTATATGCTTTACCGAAGTCTGCACTGATGGTAAAGCATCTATGGCATCCAGTCATCCCACAGAAATCGGCCATTTTCCTCACCATTTATCCTTTTAAATCCTGTATGCGGCCTTTGTATGCATGACTCATCGAAGGTCATTGCTTGCAGGAATTTGCGGAAGTTCTCTATTGATAAGTGCCAACTGTGCGTGCTCTCTCTCTTTCACTGTCTCGTGAAAATGTGTATGTAATGTGCGGTATGTGAATGGCCACCTGGAATAGCTGGTTTCGTCTCCTTACGACTAGCTGCTTCTGTTAAATGCGGGTTGATCCAGCATTCTCAGTCAGACTCAGTAGACTGCGTCACAACCAACACATGGGACAGCGAACAAAATATTCCTATCGAAGCAGCCATTCCAATCTGTGGAGTATGCAAGCTAGGGTTGCAAAATACTCATAAATTTGAGCCTTTCCTGTATCTGGTGTTTCTCAGCCGTCCTTCGGTAGAATCTGATATATTAATCCGGCACGGGAGGCTCTGCTAGATGATTGGTTATTCCGCCCAAGCTACCGTACTGCTGGAAATACCTTTGTTGTCGAAAACCACTGCCAGCCAAGGCCCCTTCTTTCTTTGATATTCCGCCTCGCCTAACGACTCTAAATAAATTTGCTACTGCTGTCTATGATGGGCATACGAATTTAAAATGCGACAAAATCGGAGGTCACATGTGGTTATGCAAACAAACTCCCGACAAAAAATCGAATGCATACAAACCCATTTCGGCAGCCTCATCATGTTAATCGACTTTGCCACCCGAAAATTACACATATTTCTTATTAGCAAGGACACATTATTTTGCGTGTGAGTTTATGCTGTCGACGAGTCTTCATGGCAGGCGAGGACGCGGCCATTTGATGCAGTTGTAATTTCAAATTTAAAGCTGATTGTCATGCTTAATTAGACAAAGCAGAGCAACTTACAACGTGGATTATAGGAGACGAACAAGCTACTGAGCAATTCACGACTTTTACAAGAAAACTGCCTTAAAAATGAAGTTGAGGAAAATGGTCCCAAAAACAGATCTGAGGTCCGTAACCATATCCCAAAACACGCAATCAAAAAAATAAAGGCCTGGCTCAGGAATAAACTATTACGACTGCTAATAACTGACCTGATCAGGCAACTGAATGCCTTTTGTCCACGCAATAAAGCGGTCACCACGAAAACCCTCCAGCAGGTTAGATCCATTCAGTGCCTGTATTGCCGCAATCATTTCTAAATTCGTGCGAAGCGGCACCTCCTCGCCCACCAGATTCAGCAAATATCGCCAACCGGACTGTCGTAGGGCTGCTTCTGCGCACACAAGTTGCGGTTTCAGCACACTGGCATTGCCCCAAAATACCGCCACCCGTGATGCCGGTGGCACTACATGTACATTAGGACCGAAGCAGGTCGCAACACCCTCCACTGCCTGACTGAACTCTGCTGAGCTGCGACGATCAATGTGGATGCAGTAGAAGTTGGCAGGACGATGAATCATGCGGAGCAGTCGTGCCAACTGACGGACGCTTCTGTGAGCGACAATGGTGAAGGCCAAGGGGTAGGCGGCCTCTTGCGCGGCCACCGGCGATCCTTCATGACTCACGAAAGCCCACCTAAAGCGTTGGCAGTTTTCATGAGAAGGTGAGCTCATATTAGCGAAGAAGACATCCGTTTCATGGGGATATTGAGTCTGATAATCCGGCAAGGGCTGAGTGCTGTCGTTGAGGTTTTCGCAAAATGTCTTAAGATGGGCATCGAATGAGATTTTCTTTACGGTGGCATCTCTTTGAAAGAGTCTGCTCAGCAGGTAGAGCAGAAGGCAACAGACGCCGATCGACGGAAGGATCAATTTCCGTCTGATGATTCTTTGCATCTATGTGCGGAAATTTTGTTGTGTCAAGGAGTTGAGTGAGATATTTTGTGGTGGTGCCGCCACGAG